AGCGCAGTAGAAACAAATGTAACAATCGCCGCTACTGCAGCAGGAGCAGGCACAGCATCGATGGATACAATAAGCACAGATTTCCTGGCCGACAACAGCCATGACATTGGATATACGTACACATACATGTACTCTGAATTCACACAAGAGCCACATCTTCAAGACATACACGCAATATAAGTGCTCATAAAATACAAAGAGGACTTGATGCATAGCAAAAAGGGATAGCTTCCCTGAAATGGAGTCCCCCAACGTAGACCCCAAAATGCTATAATACCTACAATGGGAACTCCCAAAAGAGGTACCCGACCTTGGGAAATCCCCAAGTAAACTTGCGTTTAGTAATGTTTTTTTGGTGGTTGAACCTAGTAAGATAATTATTCCGTATATAGAATACTATACCCAAAAGGAAGTTATAATCTTACTCTATGTTGGGTACCATAGTATCCCCAAATAAGATACTACCCTAAACCCTAAACCCTAAACCCAGTTTGACCCAGTATCGGATCCGGCTTCCGTGGAGCTTGCAGGTGTCCAAGAAGTGGTCGCTGCTGAGGCTTCCTGCATGCCATGCAACTCTCTTGCCAGGAGCCTTCCCCAAAAGATCCGCAAAGGCGAAATGCTAGGGGTTTAGGGTTTAGGGTTTAGGGTTTAGGGCTTAGGGCTTAGGGCTTAGGGCTTAGGGTATAGGTAGGATAGCTATTTCAGCTGCAGCATACAGGTGTTCCTGAATTTGCCCTAAGTATGACTGCCAGCTCTTCTCAAAGAAGAACTGCTGCTGCCATAGAGTTCTACAACAACGCCAGACCGCCAAACCCCAAATCCTACAACCCTAAACCATCCTGAGACCTAAGCATGCAACCTAGATGTTGAAAGCCTTGACCTTCTAAACCCTAGCCCCTAAAGCCTGGGCCCTGAACTCCCTAAAGCTCTCCTGAATCCTGGGCCCTTAGCCTCTAGTGCTCATACACCTTGAAGCGGCAACCCCCAAAACAAGAAAGTCGAAAACCGTCTGTGTGTCTGTGTGTCCTTCGGGACTCGGGCTGATACCTATTGCTCGGCGTTGCCGGCGTGTACTTCCCTGAGTCTTGGGGCTTTAGGTTTAGGGTTGGCGGTCTGGTTTCAGAGGCTTGGGGCTTTAGGGTTTGGGATTTTTGGGCTGGGGATGGTTGGGGGGCTTGGGGGCTCCAGGGTTGGAGTCGAGGAGTTCGGGTTTAGGGCGTTAAGCTTGGGACAAGGATCTACGAGGCTTTGCTTCAGGACTTCCTTGAGATGTCTTGAGGAGTCTATAAGCTCGAAAAGGAGCTATGCAGACATTATATACGTAAGTAGCAAGACGAAATATGTGGGTGGAGGATCTTGCGGTCAATGGTGAAAGATCTTTTGCATTATTGCCATGGCCTGGAATCCGATCAAAGGGAGCGCAGAAACAAAGCGGCTCTCACAAACCAGCGCGCCGGGCATTTCTTACAATGCGTCGCGCCAAGATACGCAGCCGCTTCTTGAAATCGTGAAAGTGATTGCCTTCAGCAGCAGACTGCTTGAAATGAGTGTGCTCAAGCAACATCTCAGCTACGAACGGACAAGGCGCACTGCTGACAAACCTGATTCAAAATACTATGATCACGATTATTACAATTATTGATATTATTACTTATTATTGCTATTAGTACTATGATTTCCTTCCAGACCCTGCGGCTTGTCTTGAAGGAGTCAGGATGCCCGAGACTGATCTGAAGCGGACATCGCAGATGGCTTTGGATTCCGTATCATCTCTGCAACTCTTGTGGACAGCTGTGGCTGCATTATGTCTTACTTGTACAACATGAAGAAAAGCATTGCATGATCAAGCGATTTTGGGCTCCCTGGATTCCCATTGTCATAATAAGGTTTAGGGTTTAGGGTTTAGGTTTATGAAGTCGAGAAACCCATTTCTGATCGGAGGTTTTCACGAGTGCTTTCGATCTCCTTGTGCATCTCGGTGAGCATCGCCTGCAAATAGAATCTGCCGGAGCATCACCCGAAGTTCTGGCCGCTGCCTATGCTTACTGGGGGCTCAAGGGAATATCTTATGTAGGGATTAGATAGGATTATATGGGTTGGCAAGGAATGAGGGAATATCTTATGTAGGGAATATATAGGGATTGTATTTCCTGACTTCTAACTTCCAGGAAGCATGGTCGCTCTCATTTCTTTTTGTGGCATCGTTTGCGGCCTCTGATACTGGTCTTGCTGTTACTATGTTGCTTCCGGCCACTTTCCGTCCGTCCTCATTAGCCTCAGCTTACGATCTGCAACCCTGCAGAGTTAACGCTTTCAGCTAAACCTGGCATCATTATCATCGTCCTCACCATCATCATCATCAACAACACCATCATGACGATGCTGCGAGTATGCAGCGCACGCCTGCACAGCCTTGGTGGCAAGGAGAGCCGCGATGGTGTCGCTCTTGGTAACCTCGCCTCGAATCTTCAATAACCTGAGCTTGCAGCTCAGAATCAAGTTTTGAACTAGCATGGGAGCCTGCGAAAGCAGAGAAAACTCCTACAAACCCATTTGGCTTCTCACAAATCACAACAGCTTGCGAAACCCAAATTGCCAGAAGGCTCCAAAGGCTTCAAGAAAGAACGCAAAAATCATGCTACCTCAAAGAGCGTGTAAATTAGGAAAACGTTCCCAAAGCACGGCCCGATTACCCATGGACCAGCTCCGCGATATGTAGTGTGCCACTCCCGTCGGCATCAATAACCTGCGCAGGCACAACGCATCAAGCATCCTTTGCTTCATTCAGAACTGGATAGAGTCGCCTCACCCAAGCCACAGAAAAGCGACTCGGAACAAACCCCATGAGGGTAACAGCTGCTGATTTGTTGTTGCGACTGCTGCGAAAGGGCGAAACTTCTATGTCAACAACATTGCCCATCGCGGTTCCCTGTAACTACGCGACCGGTGCACGAAGTGTCAAGGCAATCTGGCTCAACATTATAAACCCCCCAAAAAGGAAGATGCTTTGAAGCTCCCAGAGTGGTTGCAATTCAATTTAGCTGTGTGCTACTGCAGCCAAAACCAACACGCCGTAGAACACGGCCCAAAACCGTCCCTTGCTTGCTGGAAGAGGTCCCACTGGTGGGCCCTCCAGCCTTTTCTGAACTTCTGCGTAAGCTCAGCTTGCTTTTGCGTTGAGCTGTGTCTCCAGCTGAACTGGTGCTGTTCCCAACCATGCTACCAAGGAACTCCTGCACGTGCTTGGCTACAACACAGTGTTGCTTCTGCTTGCGCTGCCACTTCTCCTTGTACTGCCGCTAAAATCCGCAAAATGCATTAGAGGGCGCGCTTGGTCCCTGTCACAACTAGGAGGTTCACAGTGGCGCCCTCAAAATTTTCGTACTGTACTCTCGCCTGTAATTGAAACAGCTGCTGCGGCTACAGTGGTAGGCAAAGTTGCGCTGATTACAAGACTGATTTGGCAGAGCGCTAATGGGTCTAAGATGCTTGATGTCGAGCTTGTGTCCACAATCTTGTTGTGCTTCGGTATATGCGCTTGTCTAGACCCTGTGTTGGTTAGGGCTGCTTTTCCTCCAAGTTCGCCTTTGATGGCCATCTTGGCGGATCTTGTGGTCCCACTCTTGGATGGCCTTTTTGCTCTCCTCTTGGTGATGTTGCCGGCTTTTTGCCTGCAAGCGACGCGGAATTCGCTGATGCAGCTATAGCAGCCGTTGCCTGGAATCTTGAGGTGTCTCCGAAAGGCAAGGACCTGGTACTGCGGGCATTGGTTGGGATTAGGGGCCTAAATGAGCTCAAACAAATGAGTAGCTGTGCAGGGCCACTTTTGGGATTTGCAGACTGCATATGCCCAAGGAAGCACCTGCCGCGTTCAGGGACCAATCGCACACAGGGTCCAAAGAACTTTAGGGGTAAGATTTCTCACCGACTTTGGCGGTTGCTGGGCGCCTCTGCTTTCTCCTGCTCCCCAGGTGCCTTGACCATCCTGGTCACAGTAAGGAAGGCTTTGTGGATGGCCTTGCGGTGCAGGGCCCAGACCCCTGGTGACGTTTGGCTGTTGGCTGCTGCTGGTGCTGTTGCCAAACCTGGCTCAAACGCTGCTTCCGGGGTGCTGCGTGGCTCATCCCAGGGCTGCTGGAAGGGTCACCGCAAGGTGAGTGGCATGGCGCACCCAAATATGGTCAATGTGCTCATTGCCCTTCCGGCGAGTTGGGCTGTAAACAAAGTCGTCACATTGTTCAGGCATGGCTCAGGGTTAACGTCGCCTGCGATAATCCGGGCGCTACGCCAGTCCCACGTTGAGCTCCTTCGGTTTGGGGTGTCGGTTAGGGGTTGCGGTGCAGGAGCGCCTCAAGTTTGATGACATGCCAACTCTGCATTTTGACGATTGTCCAATGGTAGTCGTCGTGGCAGGCTCGCAAATGAGGCTTGCTGCTAGCTCGTTTTCGACCGCAACGGGCGTGCAGCCAGTGGCTTTTGTGTTGCGCTGACCCATGCTGACGAAAGTGCCGTGGCCAAGGTTTGCAAGGTGACGCTTCACGGTGGCTTCCTCATATGGCTGCAGTGCTGATTGTTGGATGCAAAAAACTTTGAGCAGTAGATCTGGATTGATGGGTATCAAGTTTTTGCATCGTTCCCCAGACTCCGCGTGTGCCGCCAATATTGATGCCTCTGATGTTGGCTTTCTTCGCTTCCTAGTGGAGCGGGTTGCTTGCAGATAGTTGCTATCCCGTGGCTGGTCATCCTCGTGACTGTCTTCCTGCCGTGGGAAAAAGCGCTCTACTTCTGCATTTCACTGTGCTTAGCACTCTCTGCTCAGCTGACTTGCACTGCCTGGCTGCATCCCCTTCCACCAAACATTTCTGGATCCATGAGATTCTGGGTTTGGCGTCATGGAAGCCATCAGCGCGCATGTACTTTTAAAACGTTTTGTGGTGAAAACGAACCGTCCAACCATTTTCTCCGCAAATCTTCCCTTGTTGAACAATCGTATGCACTCAAAGGTTAGCTTTGAATTGAAGCTGTGGTGCTTCTTCTCCTGCGGGCTTCCTGCAAGCTCCCTTCGCAGGCATTCGCCCCGCACTCAAAATGGGCGGCTTAAAGCTATTGGGCTCATCCCCCTTACCGACTCCAACAACCCACACATGATGGAACTCGATTGAATCGTGAGATTGAGCTTTGCAGGCTGTAGGATACCTGTGTGAAACACTGCGTGAATGATAAAGCCATGTTATACCACCTGGCAGCTTGCAGCGAGGTGGGGCAAGAAAAAGCTGTGACACAAATAGCACTGGAGCCTCGAACAAATTGGCCCGATCTGGGGGAAGGTCCAAGTCGTCCATCAAGAGCTGAACCTGTCGGTCCTGATGAGCCAGCAGATGTCATCTCAAATGTTTTGCCGAACACTTTGCCATTTTCAGGTGGTATACTGAGGTACAAACAGGGCTGTAGTTCCAGAAGAGCAACAGACGAGCAAGCAAATCGACCGACATAGCCTTGAGAAAACCTTCTGCAGATTTTAGCCGCCCATACCACAGCACTCCGCAATCAGAACAACCTCAAATACAAGCGCAGGCCATACGCAGCCCGCCTGAATGACCAAGAGAAACAGCTCCTGCGAAGCAGTAGCAATAATCAGGAGCCCCTACTGCAAAGTTAACTACTTTGCAACGTAAGATACACCGGAGTACTCCAAGGGGCCCAAAACCATACCGAAAGAGGATCCAGACTTGGCTGAGAAGCCACATTAATCTGCTTGGAACCGACTAGCAGGCTGAAGCAGACACATGTCAATGTGGGTCCCTCTTGAGCTCCTTTTCAGAAACCTGCTAAATATGCCTGAATACCCTAAACCCTAAACCCTAAACCCTTAAAGTTGGGCAGCTACAGCCCCTGAGCTTCAGCCTCAATCCGCTTCAAAAAATTTCGGCTCGGTGGTCTTCAGGTTTTGGGTTATAGGGTTTAGGGTTTAGGGTTTTGGGTTTTGGGTTATAGGGTTTAGGC